TTTTACCATATATATATATATATATATATATATGCATGCATCCCGCCATATGTTTCGAGACATATTCGATGTGAAATGTCCCCTGAGTGGCGCTAAAAGAGTGTTTGTTTTTTCCCCTGGAACAGATAAACGTACACATGGTACGTTTTATGTGACGTTGGTTTTGTGTCACTGCATATATATATATATATATATATATATATATATGCATCCCGCCATATGTTTCGAGACATATTCGATGTGAAATGTCCCCTGAGTGGCGCTAAAAGAGTGTTTGTTTTTTCCCCTGGAACAGATAAACGTACACATGGTACGTTTTATGTGATGTTGGTTTTGTAAGTGTCACTGCAGTTCTGCGTTAAGTGGTGCTATAACTCTAATGCTCCGTGACGTTTTAAAATAACCTACCAACTGCACTACACCTAAACCTACACGATAGGAACAAAAGCGAATGTGATGTAAAAATGCAATCGCAAGCATGCTGTTTTAGCTTGTTTTTTGATCTCTCATCTTTCAGCTCTTTCATCGTGAGTCATGTTATTCTCAGGATTCATACCCAAGGATTCCGAAAGCTAAGTCCAATTCCATGCCGGCTGAGCTACCAAGCACGCTTGTTACATCCGGAAAGCGAAACATATGGAGCTGTAATCATAACATTGTTATCGAAAACGATTACAAGTGCTCACTGTTTTACCACCTCTAATGTTAATTTCTGTTGGAAACTGCAGTGATATGTACTTATTGGTACGTATTTCGCGTCTTCCAAAAAAGTTCCCACAGGTACGTTTTCGTCATGAGACCAGTTAGGTCTTTTTTGACATAATTAAGATGAGTAAGGTGATTTTAATTTTGGGGTGATGGACATCTGAGGTCTAAACAGCACACTACAAAACTGAACAAATGTCTAGGAAAATAGGGAAAAAAGAAGATGAAAAATGGAGAGGAACGGGACTGAAGAAAGATTAAATGACTGGGGGCAAATTTAATTTTAGAGTAGAAAGTAAGAGTGTAGTATTAAATAAAAAGTGAATAAAATAGAAGGATGATTAGCAGAGGGAGAGATACAGACCGAGGTATGTCTCCGAGAGTGGCGGGAATACCGCTCACTGTCCTCCTGAAAAGCAGAGCAGGAAAAGAGGACAGAAAGCAGGACGTTTTAGGTCAAAATGTCACATGATTATCAAACACTGCAAAAAACTGAACAAAGCATGCACTGAGAGATTACGCTGTCTGTCATATCACGGTTTATTACAGGGCTCAGACAGGGTGTCTGGAGGGGTGGGAGGGGAGGGTTGAGTGCTTTAAGATGTGGGTCATGCGACTGCCCTATAATCCTGCTGTATGTTATGACCACCTCTGCTAAGCCCTAACATGTCAGATGGGCCTCCTGCCCCCCACTGCTCCAGTAAAGCCTGTGAAATGAGGATCAGACACAGACTGCCTAAGAGACATGCAACATCAACCAATCACATTTCATTCTCTGAAGGACATTACGATAGTTAACTGCATTCGGGACCTGTGCTGTGTGAATTTTCTAATGCAAATTCTATCTTTGGTGGTCTACTGCATGCGGCAGTGTGGTATAATGACAGGTCATACCATCCACTGTTCAATATGGCCCCATTTGCTGTCCAGCCCATAGTATTTCTGGTGCAGAGAGGAGGAGAGCAAGACGATCGAATGAGGAAGGGTTATGCAAGTATAATGAAGGAATATGAGGATATTAAAAACAGGTGTGAAAGAAAACATGGTTTGAATGTGGGACTGGTCCTGTTTTTTGTTCTTCAAGCTTGGTTATGTTTTTGTTAACTGATGTTCATAAATTTCGAGTTGCATAGATGTAAAATAATGCAAAATACTACAGCTTATATTTCTAATGAGCACATTTGAGTAATGTTAGAAAGAAATGAAGAGTATGGAGGGACAGATCTTACCTTTTGCGCTTGATATATCTAAATAAACAGCGGGGAGACCAGGATGAAGAGAAAGAAAGAAAGTAAGACAGGAAGAGAAAGATATAAAGAGCTTGAAGAAGAGTAGAAAGTCCACTTGTAAATAAATCATAATAGGTATAAAGAATATAAATCTAACAGATAAAAATATATTTATAGTAGTACAGAACCCAAAACATTCTCAAAAGCCTTTTAGAACATGACGCTGATTCAAAATGACAACAAATTAACCCTTAATGGTCTCAGTATTTTGGGATATAAATTTGAAAATAAGAGCAATATTTTGAAGAAAGAGGTGAACCTGTATTATTGCAATCAGAGTCCCTAAATAAAGCATAAAATTTATTTTCTTTTTTATATTTTTATGTTAAAATTGGGTTAAAAGAGTTAAAAATTTTGTCTTTGACTGGACTTTTATTAGACATATACTACCACTGAAATTTGGGAGTCAGTAAGATTTTTCTTTTATTATTATTTAATAAAAAAAACGAAACATATTTTATTCAGCAACGATGCATTAATCTGATCAAAAGTGACAGTAAAGCTTTTTTCAATTAAAGACTTCTTTCAATTAAAAAAAAAATAATCTCACTGACTCCAAACCTTTGAATGGGATTATGTCATAAACATAAACCGATATATATATGATATGTATGATACATTCGAATCACATTTTCAATTTACTATTACAGAGTAGCTATTTTCTAAGGTAAACACCAGCACAGACACACACACACACAATGATCCATGATCACATGCACCCCCCTTTTTTTCCACATGCTAAGCAAAACCTTTTTTGAAACAAGAATATTAATACACTCTTTTCTCTGCTTCACCACTCATGCACTTTAAGACTGGTTTAAAGGTTTAAATCATGAATAGCTGTTTTCAATTTACTATTACAGAGTAGCTATTTTCTAAGGTAAACACCAGCACAGACACACACACACACAATGATCCATGATCACATGCACCCCCCTTTTTTTCCACATGCTAAGCAAAACCTTTTTATGAAACAAGAATATTAATACACTCTTTTCTCTGCTTCACAACTCATGCACTTTAAGACTGGTTTAAAGGTTTAAATCATGAATAGCTGTTTCTGCTCCAGTTCAATTGTGAGAGTAGTACTGTACTTTAATCCTGAAGTGATTTATGAGAAATAAAGAGAATTCATACATCTTTCAAGGTCAGCGGTTCTCATTCCTGGTCATGGTGTAAACCTGCTCCTTTTTTCATGTCACTTTTTGTGTATTATGAGTGAGTGATTGAATCATTCACTAAGCTGACTTATTCAAAAACACTTATTCATTCAGGAAAGAAAAAACTATTTGTTGCAACTATGTGCTGAATGAGACATGCAATGCTTGATTCTCTTTGGCTTCATTTGGGAGTTTTTTTTTTCAATGACAGAGCAAAACAGGCAATATTGTTTTTGAAATATAAGTTCTTGGTAATTGCACTCTTGCTTGAATGATATTGCTTAAATAAAGAGTGAACTACATGCTGTGCCAGTTTGAAATAGTTTTCATCTTATGTAGAAACTTACAGGCCATTTTGTAGATCCTAAGAATAAACAGTAGAACTGTAACAGTCTGCCAAACAGATTATCTCCTGACCTCTTTCTGTTGCCTCTCCAATTCCTTCATACGGATTTCTCGAGCTTCTGCCCGGGCTGTCCGTTTAGCTGCCAGTCTTGCCTCTGCCTGGTAGAAAGATATATAGAGAAAGAGAGGGATTCAGAGTCAGAACCGTCAAATAGAGAAAAAATGCACATAAACATATATAAATAAAAATAAATAAATCACATAAAATGTACAAAATGCACTTGCATTTACATTGTTCTATTCAATATGAAAGTCAGGACTATTTACTGTACCAGTGTGAGTGAGAAAGGCTACAGAGTATGACAGAGAGAAACCTTTTCTGCTTGAACTCTATGCACTGCAAAAGCTAAAACTGAAGTTGAGGAGAGTTCTTCGAGTGTAATCAAATTAAGTAATTCACAGGCTTCCATTGATTAATCCATTATACTGTAGTTTTAATCTAATCATTGACTTCAACTACAGATGAATGCCAGTTTTGTGGGGCCGGAAGGCCCATGGAAATGAGCACTGATCAGCAGCAACATTAGAAGATTAAGAACCATTAGAAATGATTATTCTACCGGTCAAGAAAATGGTTTAACTATGAAAAAAAAAAAAACATGACGGTCCAGATAAAGTATAATAAGTATAATTATAGAACCATAAAAAGGGTCATTAATAGATTGTAATCTTGTAAGCTGTAAACACAAACAAAGATAGTGAATTAAAATCACTAAGCATAAAAGGGGTAGTTCACCCAAAAATGAAAATTCTGTCATTAATTACTCACCCTCATGTCGTTTCAAATCCGTAAGACCTTCGTTCATCTTCGGAAGCGGTAAAACAGTCCATGTGACTTCAGTGGCTCAACTTCAATTTTGCGAAGCTACGAGAATACTTTTTTGTGTGCAAAGAAATGCATGCATGCAACACCCGCTGAGTGGCATTAAACAGCTTGAAAGATCAAAGACAATTTTTAATATAACCCTAGGATGACTTGAGGGTAAGTAATTTGTGGGCTAATTTTCATTTTTGGGTGAACTAACCCTTTAAGCACGCACACACACAAGCAGTGCCAGGAAGGAATAGCTCACTCACTGCCTCCAAGCTGCCATTTCCGGTCAACATGTGAAACCCAAAGGATAACAGAAAAAAGGCTGCTCAGCAACCCAACTGACGTAAAACATTGTAACGGCTTACTATCTATCATCATAAAAATGCCATTTTTAAGAGGTCCTTAAACTTACTAAGCATTTTCTACAGCTGTGGGGTTTTTTTTTTTTGTGCAGAAACAATAAATGTCCTTAAAAATCAAACATGGCAATTTTTCTAATATTACCATGAAATGTAAACACAACATAGGCTTGTCTTCATAGCTTCTGTAATGTTTGGGTTATAAATGTCTCTTGCATTTCAATGGCAACAAGCTCTTGGCAGCCAATAATTTGCTGTAGAAAACACAAACTATATTTATCACTCTTGCAAGTGAACCAATATTTAATGTGTACCTGTATTATATTTTCTTTTAATATTTGTCCCTTTGTTCTTTGTCTAAAATGTCAATTTAAAATAGGTCCTTGTTTAAAATATATTACATTATTTACTACACTGTTTTTTTCCTCCACTGGCATAAAATAAATACCATCTTTATTAAATTATATTTTATAATAATGTACAAACCTGTATAAATATTGTTATTATGCATATGTCAGTGTTGTTCAGTGCCATATTTAAAACTCCCATCTGAACAGAGTAAATGTTGTTGTTGTTGTTGTTGTTTTCATAACAATGAGCAGAAAACAGAATACTAACACAAATCTCTAACTAACATTTGACTGCACTACAAGTGTACTACAAGTACTTAGGTTTATACAATTAAAAGTCATATTTTCCTTGCATTGCATTCAAAGTGTTCAATCTGCAAAAAAAAATCTTAACAGTATAAATCATTTGGAATTCCAATTTTGAGCACAATATTTTAGTAAGTTTGTAGTGTAAAGTATTTCTCTGCAAGTCACTCAAACAGAAGTTGGTAACTTTGTTTTTGCTATGGAAACTATGTGATAATTTATGACTCACTAGGGGGCAGTGTTTTCAATCTATTGCTCATTACAAAATAGTGAACAAATTACAAAAGTGAGTGGGTGAGTGTGTGTGTGAGTGTGTGTGTGTGTGTGTGTGAGAGAGAGAGAGAGAGAGAGAGAGAGAGAGAGAGCATTTTAAAAAGTAGTACACTATATAGTTGTTGTCATTACTTATATATAATGATTGTTTGAGAGCCTAATCAAAAACCTTGCTATTGGTCTAGAACAGGAGTGTTTAAGATAAGGCCAGTGTGATTATTTGAGGGGAAGAATGTCCATTTATTATGTTGCATTTGTAATAATAAAAAAGAAAACATGTTTTGTAATCTAAGCTAAAATGAGTTTGACCTTTGTTGTCTGCAGTTTCTCTGCACATCCATATAGACAGCACGTATAATGCAATATATGAAGTCTGGCTAAATCTCTGACACATTGGTCAGAATAACAAGCTTGCCAAGCGACACAAACAGACTGTTAGAAAGCTTCTCTGGTTCTTTTGTCTGAACAAGTCACAACTCATTGAATAAGGGGCTTCAGACAAGCCTCTGCCCTAGATCCTGCCAACCACGTCCACTGGCCTGTCAACAGCGTGCAGAGAACTGGAGTTCACACTGCTCAGCAGAACAACTCCCACAAGCTACTGACTATCACAGACTATCTGGACAAAGGAAAATGGAAATGACAGAAAAACATAGATAAAATATAAATTGGATAATTTTACGTGTAAATTATTTTCTGCCGAGAATAGTTCATTATGATGTACAAAATAGTCTGCCTAGCAACAAGACAAAAACGGCTACAATATTAAAGTAATGTTAATAGTGAAGTCCTCTGAGGTAGCGTTGTTTTCAGTTAAGGTCTGTTCAATCCAATAAGCATGTGCAATAAACATTTACATTTGAAATGTATCTGTGTGTGTGTGGCTGAATACATTTACATATTTATGTACTTAATAAAAATACCCTGCAATTGTGCTTTTACTACACTAAACTGGTATGCTTAAAATCTGCTAAATTGAAACAATTAATTTTGTACTTAATGCACTTTAATTGTGCTGAAGTCCAACTAAAGATATACTTTAGTATATTTGATTGTGCTATTATTACCATTACCATTTACCTGTTTAACAGTTCTGTCTCTCTCTGAAACAGCCGTTTCTCAATACCAAGTACGCAAAGTTCGGACTTGCGTCCTCGGTAGTTCAGACTTCGCAAGTTCGACTCGGAAGTGCGAACTCCATAGACTGTATAAAAACTGATCAAAAATTTGATCTACAACGGACAGTCAGGACTGCTGAGAGGATTATTGGTGTCCCTCTGCCCAGCCTCCAAGATCTTTACATCTCCAGAGTGAGGGAAAGTGCTAATAAAATCACCTTGGACCCCTCACACCCAGCCCACTCTCTCTTCGAACTGTTGCCTTGTGGTCGGCGCTACAGAGCACTGACCACCAGAACAGTCAGGCACAAGAACAGTTTTTTCCCACAAGCTATATTCAGTCTGAACAATTAATCTTTCATAATTATACATCGTCCATCACAACTAACATAGTTATCTGACATATTTATATTAAACTGCACACTTTGTAAATAACATATCTGCACACTAATAACATATCTGTACATTTATCTAAACAATTACATTTTTTCCTATTCTTCTATTTCTGTATATAGTACATTATTTAATGTTTTGTTTTTTTAATATTTTTTATTTTAGTTTTATATTACATCCCTACTGTGTTATTCCTGCAATGCTATGTCTGCACTATGTTTGTACTTTCTTCTACACTGGACGCTCCTGTCGTCAAGTCAAATTCCTTGTGTGTGTAAACATACTTGGTAATAAAGCTCTTCTGATTCTGATTCTGAAAATGGAGAATGGGAGCTAAAACATTCAGGCGCTAACATTCTCAGCACTGTCAAAATAAAAGTCCTGTTTTCGATACATTGGCCAAGCAGAAAAGCATATCGGCTGATGTCGATAATTTAAAAAATGTCAAATAGTGGATGATATATCAGCCACATTTTTCTTTTGGTTTTAATGTGGTACAATCATGTTAATAATCCATGTGGACTATGGTCATCATCAATATTAACAGAATTAACAGAAAATGAATAACCCAGCTAGTCCATAGGTGTGTGTTAAACAACTGTTTTAGGCTAAAGAAGCTAATAGCCGATATTAAAAAAGAAACAAGAATTCCCAACCATAGCCTGAGCAATGTAATTCCAAAAGTTTCCATTCTAGAATGTCTGCTGAAATAACGCATCAATAAAGAATATTACAGTCTAAACGCATCCACATGCCAGTGGACTCCACAGGTCAAAACCCTTTGATCAGTGACTCAGCATGAGACACACGTGTATGCGATAAACCTAGAGGTTTATGCTAGACTTGTGTACATTCTCCACTTCAGACCAGTGCTCTTTGTTGGATTTAGTTAGTGCAGAGCTAAATTGTATAGATAAATAACATTATTACTGCTAATGCAATATTCAGCTTCTTTAATAATGAAAGGCTCCAGCTTCACTGACTGTCGCAGCGGTCATACATGAATGATTTCTAATGCACTAAATCTTCTCTCAGATATACTCAACTAAAATAAAGAAGAATGAAAGCGGTCAATGCAATCTGCGTTTTCTTCCCTGGCTGGATTCCCTCACTGGGGAAGTTATATTTTGAGTTTTAATGTTTAGTTTCTGGTTTCGTTAAACACCGCTCTGTAAAAACAGGCTACAAGTCACTGCTATTAGAGGGATTTGAGGTTCTGTGAGGAGAAGACAGAGTGCCTGTCCTAGATCAAGCAAGAGCGTGGCAGAATCTGACAGATGTTCCTTTCCTCCTCAGCTGTCAGGACCCCACAGGCCTCCCTATGGAGCCATAAGGAACTAGATTCTTTCTGCGCCAGGAAAGAGATCAACTCTGCGAACTCACATAAGAGCAAAGGGACAATTCAGTGCTACAGTACCATTCAATAGTTTGGGTTGTCGAAGAAATATAAAGCAATTTTAAAGAAATCAATATTTTTATTTAGAAGGC